ATTCAAAGTTTTTTTTTATAAATCCTTTGAATGTATGCTAAAATCAACTTATATTGAAAAATGCAGGCTTGCCTTTTGCATGGTAATTTAAATCCTCATTTTATTGGACTAAAGTTCCTAGGCAGGTAGATATCTCTGTCCTGGGTCTGCGACTGAAAACACGTGCACAAGAACTTGAAGGTGTTTTTGATCCATCTGTGAACCAACAACTATCTGCTCTTAATATTTCCTTCTCACGGAGGATCCAGTCCTCTCTACTCGGGAATAGTACTTTATAAGGCAGTTCGTAGTTGACAGTTGGAGGCATAAAGTCAGAGAGCATTTCCAGAATGCTGTGACTTCCAGTGTCAACCAGCAGTCTGTTGTACTCTGCATTAAATTGCACAATAAAATGTTATTTGAAGAACACTTCATACATTATGGGAAGCGAGAAAATCACAAGTTACAAAATGTTTCAGGATGCTTAATATAAAAAAAAATTGGACCATTTGACAAAAACACGTTAATAACAATTATTTCAAAAAGTACTGAAAATTCCAATCAATGTGTCAGAAACTCTTGTAATGAGTAGTAGCTTTTTTGAGTTGACATTTTTTTTTATTTTTGTCTTATTGATAATCTTGAACAGGATTGATTGAATTCGTCAGGCTTTTATAGCAAAGCAGTAGGAGATCAGTTTGAATGTTATACTATCTATGCCGTTATTCCACGAGAGTTTTTGATCTTAACAGATCCCCAATTACACTTACAGTGGAGTTTTAATCAAGGAAAAAACAAATACAAAGTAATTTCGTATTATTAAATTGTCAGAATATAATTAACACTTTTGTAGAATAACCCTTATTTTCGATTTCAAGATCTTTTCTAATTTTCAGGTGTTGTATTCAAGCTATCTCTTACGTCAAGTCGAAATCAATTTTATGTTCTGCCTGTGCATGTTGCTGAAAAAGGGAATGCCGAATATGTACCGGCCTCAACATTTTCAAACATAGAAACAAAATAGTATAATAAACCACCCCTTAGATGACTCCCATATAAATAATAATCTGTTCTTATATTGTTCTTCGGTATCTGTCTATACCGGTATCTGTCTATATCGAATATGAACGTGGCTAAACATTCTTAAGGCTATAAACGGAATTTTTGAAATTTTTGTTCAAGAATAAAACACCCATTGGACGGCTCCCAACTGAATCATCTCTTGGTATATTGTTCTTCGGTATATTCAAAGTGACTATACCGAATAGGGCCCAGGCGTAACATTTCATACAAACGGAATTTTTTTAAATTTCATTAAATGAAATACACCTTACACAGTTTCCAAATGAATCACCTCCTGGTATAGTATTTTAATTTGAAGAATCTATACTGAATATGAACTTGCCAGAGCATTTTTTAAAATATAAACAGAATTTTTGAAAATATTGTTCAAGTATGAACTACCCCTTAGAACTACCCTTTATCAAATGAATCACTTCTTGATATACAGTTTTTCGATCTACATGAATTTGAACCTTGCTAAACATTTTCAAGGATACAAACGTGATTTTTGAAAATTTCATTCGGGTATGAACTTTTGTTTTTAAGGACAAAACACAAGCACTACAGGAAAATTCTGAAGGCGCACTAAGAGCGGCGCCTGTGCCAAAGTAGTGATTCACATTGGATTTGAATCAGTGGAGATTAAATACATTTGGAAAAACGTTCTCAGGAAGTTTATTCCACATATTCCAAATAAAAGAGTTCTGAAACAGTGAAGTTTGAGGTGTACTCAGTTGAACCTCAAAACGATGAGCAGCCACAGTCCGTCGCGTATTTCTAATATGTACCGCTCTTGGTGGAATCAAATGTGCCAAGTAATGTTCGCGTCTCCAATTAGGCGGATAGCTCTTTTCTGGATGGAATCCAGCCGCTTCCGGGTATGCTTAGGGGCGGAGCTTCATACATGAGAACAATACTTTAAAGTTCACTTGAAGTGTCTATACTGAATATGAACTTCGCTTCCGAATTTTCCCCTGGCTAGATGTTTGTTTCAGCTCTATAAATTCATCAAATTTTGCTTCTAAAGTCACCGAAGTTATTCTATCATCCATGTGCCGGAAACCGAACTGGATTTGTTGATGCTCGCAACAGCTGCAAACTCAGGATAAATGAAAGCAACAAACTTCACATTCAGAAAATTAGGGATACACTGCTTGCCAATGCCAACGGGTCTAGATTCTTCTGGTCGGTAGTTAAAGCTGTTGATCAGAACTTTACAAAATCCACAATTATACCACTAAAAGGCATAGAAAAAGCAAATCTACTAGCTCAGCAATTTGCGTCTCACTCCACAGTTGATTTTCTGGGAAATGCACCACCCACGACAGGGTCTAGTCAGGTGAATTTTGAAACAACTCAATATCAAGGCGTCTGGTCCTGATGGAGTGCCTGTTATTGTACTTAAAAAGTGCACAAATGACTTTTCAACCTGTCTCACAAGAAAGGGGTTTTTCCTCCTTGTTATAAGATTGCTCGCGTTCAGCATATTCCCAAAAAGGGCAAGAAAACTTTCTCAAATAACTATAGACGAGTCGCTTTGCTATCAGTGATATCAAAAATAATGGAGAAAGCCGTAAACCAAAGATCAACAGGCGACTTCTATCGTATGTCACGCACGTATGTAACGCAATCGAGAAACATGGAGAGTTAAGAGCTGTTGCTCTTAATATTTTTAAGGCCTTTGACGGTGTGTGGCATGAGGATTTACTGGCCAAACTTCGATGTTATGACTTTTGGATAAATTTTGTGTATGGCTCTTCAGCTTCCTGAAAGAATGTTCCCTGCAAGTGGCCATCGATTAATATCTCCCGAATACTTTAACCATCAACGCTGGTGCTCCCCAGGGATCCATATTATCTCCAACCCTCTTTTTATTGTATATGCACGACTTATTGTAAAAACCAAGAATTCAATATATTGCTTTGCTGGCGATAGGACACTTGTCTCGTCATTACATTTGGATTCCAGGATGTCGGCTGCTGAGCACATCTTCACCGGCAGCAGAGGTTGAATATCTTAATAAGGATCTAGAAGTGATTTCGAATTAGGGTGAAAGTAACCAGGTTTAATTCAATGCTACGAAAACCCAGGCATCGTTTTTCTTCAAAAATATAAATGTTTCCGAACCGGATATAATAATGTCAAGTGAGACAATTCCGCTTTCTGCTTCGATAAGTTTGTTGGGGGTTAAAGTGGACACCAATATATCTTGACACAATCATGTCGCTGGAATTACAAAGGCTGCTTCTCAAAAGCTTGGAACACTGTTCCTAACCAGAAAACTGTACACACTTCAGCAACTTTTGATGCGTTCAAAAGCTCAGATGAGACCTTCTTTGGAGTATTGTTATCATATATGGAGCTCCGCCCCCAAATATACCCTGAAGCTGCTGGATTCTATGGCGGAACTATCAATAATTGCCTGAATACATTGACATTTAACTGAATAATATGAGGTAATAATCTTGAGGTCACTTCAGAAGATGCTCGAAATGATTGCCTTGAACTTTTTGACATATAAACAGCCTATCCGATATTTGGTGAGATTTGCATACACGTGACTGATAAATCAGTCTCAAATTTCAGATCGCAAGAAAGCCGCAGATCTCGTCCCATTATAATACTGGCAGGGGTTTGGCCGGTTGCCGAACGATAGGTTAACAGGAACAGGTGGAGGTACTGGTCCCGGCGATGTCGATGGTGATTCTCTCAAAGGGACAGCACATATAGCACACTTTCTGCATCAGTCCTTGACGTCGGCTTGACAATTAACCCAGTAAAACCGTTGTCTTACTTTCTGGAGGGTCCTTGTTACTCCCAGATGCCCTCCAGTGACTCGATCATGGATTTCTTTGAGCACCTTCCGTCGTCTGTTCCTGGGTACCACTAACTGGCGCCTTTCTTCTCTACCGTCTTTAGACTCCAACACCCGCTTTAGAACTCCGTTTTTCAAGGTAAGGGAGTTCCATTGGGTCCAGTAGGACTTAACCGCTGTCAAATAATCTGCTACCTCCTGCCACGATGGTCTTTGATTACTTTTCTTCCATCCGATGACTAAACCAAGATCTGGGTCTTTCTCTTGGTCTTCCTTGATCTTATTGTCCTCCCAGTTGTCGTCTACAGCTGTACTTCTACAAATAGCTGCTTCCTTCTCTTCTGCTCGTCGGCAATGTGAGCAGCCATTGGGGCATGGTTTCCCTGACAGGGCATCTGCGTTTTTATGACTAGTCCCAGCTCGATGTTCTATTTCGAAGTCAAATTCTTGAAGTCTCTCAATCCAGAGCGCTACTTGGCTCTCGGAATTTTTGAACTGCAGAAGCCATTTGAGAGCTGCATGGTCCGTTCTCAACAGAAATCTTCCATACACGTATTTGTAGAAATGCTCTACACCTTTGACAACGGCCAACAGCTCTCGCCTGGTGACACAATAATTGCACTCTGGTTTACTGAGCGTCTTGCTGAAGTAGTCAATAACTTTCTCCTGTCCATCTCGGCTCTAAGAAAGGACTGTTCCAAGTCCCACGTTGCTGACGTCCGTAGTATCCGGTAGGGGATAGCTCAAAACAGGAGCGTTGATCAAAGCTCTTTTCAACTTCTTGAATGAGTCTAGGCAGTCATCGGACCACTGTAACTGGAGCTGTTCTTCTTTAAGTCGGGTCAATGGTTTGGCAATGTTGGCAAACCCCAGTACATATCTGCGGTAGTAGGTGGAATGGGCCAATCCTTAACTACTTTGATCTTTTGTTCGTCTACCGCCAATCCTTCCCCAGAGACAACGTGGCCAAGGTAACGGACTTCTTTCTGGAACAGATGACATTTCTTGGGACTAAGTTTCAATCCAGAACTCCTCAGACGCATGAATACCTCCTCCAGATTTTTCAAGTGATCATCGAATAATTTTTCGATCACGATTATATCGTCGAGATACACTACACACGTCTTCCATGAGAGCCCCTTGAGAACCGCCTCCATCAATCTCTCGAAGGTCGCTGGAGCATTACAAAGCCCGAATGGCATAACCGTGAACTGCCACAATCCTGAGCCGATGGTGAAACCTGTCTTTTCTTGATCTTCTAGGGCTTATTCAACTTTCCAATATCCACTCTTCAAATCCAAAGTCGAGAAAATCGTGGCGATAATCCACGCAGAACCTTGTCAAGCCGCCCTTCTTCTTCACTAATACGACTGGGGAAGACCAGGGGCTGTCAGAAGGTTCGATGACTTCTTCTTTTCCCATATCGCTGACTATCTTGTCTGCCTCTTCTTTCTTGGCACGAAGGAGTCTTCTAGCTGATTGCCGGATTGATCGGGCATTCCCAGTGTCGATTCTGTGCTAAACCACATTCGTTCTGCCGCCTTTTCCTTCTCCAATGTCGAAGATTTCCTGGTACTTCTTGACTAACTCCCTCAATTTGTATCGGTGAGTTGATGGTATGTCCTTGGAGGAAATGTCAATCAACTTCTCCGGTCGGTAGCCAAGCGGTTCGACGTGGGTGCTTTGTTCACTCACTCGAGTTGACTGCCGTGTTGGTCGGTGGTTCAAACCCTAGTCGAAACGATAGATTTTCACTTGCTATCGTCCAACCCGTGTTAGGAATCACACGTTAAAAGGTAAAACCTCGTTAATCCTTAGCTCGCACAAGTTTCGACTTCTGAGGGTTGTCGTTCGTAGGGGTGCGACAGCTGGTTAACGGAAAAAAAGATTTTTAAACAAAACTCTTTAGACAAGTGGTTGCTTGGCTAACTGAACTGCGTACACTCCGTATGACAGAGAAAATGGACGAACAGTGCTCCAGCATTGTTTCTTTTTTCAAGGTCATGGGAAAGTAGTTGATATTCATGACCCTGACTGGCACAACTTCATCAACACGTAACAGGGTCTTCTCCAGTGCGATTCCTCGTCCAATTTTCTCATCACGTATCTTGGGCTCGAACATTACCACCTTTCCGCTGCTCGCACTTCCGTCCAAGCGAGCCTCTAGGATGGTTTCAGCCCCCTCAGGTACGCACACGTCTTCAGCCAACAGGACCCTGATCATCTCTTCGCTTCTTCCATGAAGCACCAGCTCTTCTTGCCGACATGTAGGAGGCCGTCTTGAAAATTCAGCTTGAACACTCTGGAAGTCATTATGTCCATTCCAATAATCGCATCGTCCTCGATGTCCGCCACCAATGCACGATGGTTCAATTTAGTGCTGCCCAACACCAATTCAATTGGTTTCAATAGTTCCTATCCCTTCTTCCAGTAGGCTCGCCACACTAAAAAGCTCTTTTTTCAAGCCTTCTGAATTCTCTAGAAATTTATCTTTCAAACTCTTCGAATTTTCCAGAAGCTTCTCCTCCAGACACTTGAAATTTTCCAGAAGCTTCTCCTCCAGACTTACCGAATTTTGTTGAATTTCATCTTTCAGCAATTTAGTATTCTCATCAAGTTTGCTCATTATTGAACTCAAATGACCCCCAGAAACTTCGAATAAATATGTTTCGGGATCTTCTCCTGATTCAGTCAAGTTATCCCATAGTCTCTTCTGGAGTAATGATTTCTTTCCAGAACAATCTAGCTTCCTCTCCTCCAATTCTTGCTTCAATTCGACGACTTTCAAGTCCACTAAGCGCACTTTCCTAGAACACTTTTTGTCTCTTATTGTCTATTTTCCACAAAACTGTATATGTCCACTTATTTTAATCGAGTCCTAAATACTTATTCACTTTCACAAGTCTATTTTTCGCGAGAAAGATCTATCAGTTTATGTTTCCGTAGTCCGGTACTGTCCACTTCGCGAAACACAACGAATCACCAGTCTCTCTGCGCGAACAAATAATAAGTTTTATAGTCAATTTTACCATACTACAAATACTAATTTAGATTTATAGATAATTATTCACTTTTCGTAATTAATCATGTATAATGAAATTAAAACAAAAAAGGGAATCGTATATATTTTCGTACATACACGTAAAATTTTCCATCCTTTTTTTCAGTATTTAATCAAGTATAATGAAATTAAAACAAAAAAAGGAATCGATTTGCTTCAAAGTTTGGTGGAATATTACCATGCTCAAACAAAGTAAGTAACTTCAAACTTAACGTTTGACTTAAACCAAACACTATCTTATATTTTAGTTATTTCCAAGATGGACTGAAAACAATTGAACATTTTGGAAACTATGTAGCAGATCTAAGTATAAGATTACAGAAAATCCGTCAAGCTCAAGATGAAGAGAAAAGAAAGTTGTGTGATCTGAGAAATTTGATAAAGACAACTCCTAGTTTAGAAAAAGAAGTGAGTAATCTACACCTGGTTTGATTAATGTGTATTAATTTTAATAAAGACGAATCTTCGACTAAATATTACATAACGTTTTGAAGAAATATGTATGTATCTTACCTGTACTTAGACAGTGATGGGCAAATATTTAGATCCAGGTAAACCTCTGTAGTGTCTTTAGGAAATTTGATTGGAATGAGTGTTCTCCAATGGTTGCAGAGTACTAACTGCACCCACCTGATCCTGTCAGGCAGCAATACAGACCATGATGTGCTGCCCTAGAATCGTACCTATGTACTTTGGAATTTCCTTTATGGCAGACATAATGGCACACTGAAGAATTTTCGGTTGATTGGTCAACATGGAAGTTGTCGGATGTTCAAGGTGCAAGATTCTCACCCTGATGCCCGCAACAACCTTTACAATATGAGGGCATGTGTAATTTTCGCCTCTCGTTTGGGCAAATCATCGTTTGAGTGTACTTTTGCACACATTGATGGTAAACTAATTTGAATGCAAAAAATTACTTCAGATGCAATTATTTCGTTTTTTTGGTTATTTTTTCAGGATATTGCATATGAGTTTGTACATTGAGATTAAATTGCTTTGTTACTTTCACTTTCAGATTTATCTTACAGTACCTAATAATTCTAACATCTACTCTCACTACTACAGTAAGGTTAATAGAATACTAAATCTTATTAAGAAGAGACTTTTGTTTTTGTAAAAAATCTTCAACGGGGATTTTATTCATTCATTCAGAGCTCTGTCTGCAGGTGGTGCAGTAGACATCCCACTGAATCAACGGCAGAAATATTTTATGATGAGCTGGAATTATATTTGTTTGGTCGTGATACTCGGACAGTTCACACTGTTCTGAATAGACCATCCCCGGTACTGAACTGATGATGGGGCAAGCACTCTGTAACCAGTCTATCCGTTGGTCGTATCGACCATCGTATCGACCATCATAGTGGGAAATAACTTGCGACGAATCTTTCAAATCGAAGACGTTGCACAGGTGCCTGTTGGTTTGACTTCAACTCTCTGCGCGGCATTAGCCGGGTTAGTTGTTGTTTTTCCTTGGGTATCTGTCACACGTACCTACAAAGTCGTAGGGCTGCATGAGAGGAAAGGGGCAACCTTGAGCAGAACGGTAACAGATTGTCATGTATCAAAACCATTAACTGCATCCATTCGCCTAGAAGTCCCTCATTAATCAGTAATTGAACCAGAACTCTTTAACCTCGTATGTGAATGATTTTGATAAATTGAATAATGTTTTTTTATCTCACCTTATATGTTGATGGCACTTCTGTTTCAAAAAGTTGAGAGCTACTCTTGAAAGTTCTTGTAACTATTGCTCAACATGAATGGTCCCCTCAGCTTTGTATCAGAATTTGATACAAATTTATTCTATTCCATTTTTTATGCCTCTGTCTTTGGAAATGACAATAATCCAAAGATGAAATTTGATTACATGAAAGAGATACCATAATATATAAATTGTTTTTCTAATTCTAATCTCATCCACAGGTAGCTTCTCAATTAGACAAAGGAGCAGCTGGGTATTCTTTGCATCAGCTTCAAGGAGACAAACATCATGGTCTAACTCGAACTGGACATTTACTCAAAAAATCTGAAGGAAAGATGAGAAGGGTGTGGCAAAAGAGGAAGTGTAGGGTTCAAGCTGAAGGATACTTGGATATTTGTCATGCGGATGAGAATAAACCTCCAACTAGAGTTAATTTACTTACTTGCCAAATAAAGATTGTGCCAGATGACAAAAGAGGCTTCGATTTGATATCATGTAAGTTGTTCAGTGTTTTCACTTGATTATTAATCTAGAATAAGTTGCTTCACAAATCCACCATTGTATAAAGAATTTCCGTTTACTAGTGTTAGACAAATTTTATATTGTTTATACATGGTCTATACTTCAAGTGCTTTCAAAATGGTTTGTGTTTGATATTTCTCAATATACTCTTGATTTATTGACATTATTATTCTTTTGATTTGATCCTCATTTGATTTGCATTGTAGATAATAGAACATACCATTTTCAAGCAGAAGATGAAGCTGATCAGAGAGCTTGGATGTCGGTGTTGATAAATTGTAAAGAAATGGCACTAATGAAAGCATTCGATGATAGTAGTAAAACTGGTGGTGATAAGGTCAATCATAGTTTCATAGAACTTCAACAAGCCATCATCAAATATATACAAAAAATTTCGGGAAACGATAGATGTTGTGATTGTAATTCTCAGAATGGTAAGTGTTCATTTTGCTGTTAATTTGGCATCTACAACATTAATATCAGTTGACAGATGTATAAATTGAACTATGAACTTTCAAGAGAATGTTTCTCAAAATCAAACTTTTGTTAATAATTTTTACTTTCAGATGCTACTTGGCTGTCAACAAATTTTGGAATTATTGTGTGTATTGAGTGTTCGGGTATACACAGGGATTTAGGAGTTCACATAAGTCGAATACAATCTTTAACTTTAGATAATGTCGGAACTAGTCAGTTAGTCCTTGCTAGGTTCATGGGAAATCACTCATTTAATGACATTATGGAAGCTCAGCTATCACCAAATGACAAGTTGGATCCTGGAAGTTCAATGTAATAATTTATCTTTGTATGAAATAGAATAGATTATTTGTTGAAGTCATTGACTTATTTACAAAAGTATGAACATGTTCTCTACACTATGATTTAGTCTATATATTATTATTTTAGGGATGAAAGGCTGAATTTCATTCGGGCTAAATATGTAGATAAAAGATTTTCCATGAAATTATGTGATTCAGAAAGAGAAAAAATGTATGAACTAGAAGAGGCTATCAGTAGAGGTGATTTACAGATGCTTCTTCAAACATTTGCAGAACATGTCGACTTCAGTGCCACCATTCCTTCATCAGTAAGTAAAGGGAAATCAAACTGTCTTCATAGTCCTTCACTTACACAAGCCAGATTATTGAAAATTTTCCAAAATATTCACGAGTGGACTGAAGTGAAAGCCTTTTTAAAACACTTTATTGATTTGGATAACAGCTAGGTTTGTTTAATCAATCATATTTGAAATGACAGATGTGAGATCTGAATTACTAGACTTTTGGATAATTGAAGTTAATAATTTCATTATGTTGGAATTTGTGAAAAAATATATAAATTTAATAATTCATTGAATCACACGTTAAAAGGTAAGACCTCGTTAGTCCTTAGCTCGCACAAGTTTCTCAACTTCTGAGAGTTGACGTTCGTATGGGGGCGACAGCTGATTAACGGAAAAACAGATTTTAAACAGATTTTTTTTTTAAACAGAAATAACTCTTTTGAACTTTGGTGTAATCTGTTCTCTAAAGTCACTACAGATTTTGTAGATCAGACAATATTTAATTGGAATTTTTTAATGAATATGCTCAGTGAATGCAGTGTGAATTTGAATTTTTTTTATATTTAATGGTAGGTTATTTGAGGTGAAGTTTTACATGCCTTATTAATGTTGTTGGAAGTTTTCCTGATACTAATAAAGGGAGATGATAATAAAACAGACATTAAATTAATTACAAACTTATCCGTTGAATGTGATATTGAAATATTTGCTTTGTTTTACTTTATGAAAGATTGTATAATTGCCGTCATAACTGCATAAAGACCACCTAATGTTCATACGAGTTCAACCTCTGTCAACTACATTGCCACAAATGTCAAAACATCATGATATTGGGGTGTAATGTTGTTCAATCAAATATTGCTCATCAATATGCCTATATTTCAATATATGATAAGAAGGAAAATATTGTTACATTAGAGTAGCGGTAACTTAGTTTTGAGGTTTTATTCTGAAATAAGAACAAGACTAAACACTGAAGACTGGTCTCCAGTATATCATTTAACTCTAGATAATGCTATTCATTACTTTACATATCATGTCCAAATACACATGTACGTAATAAGAATAACAAAAAAGCTGAGTGTCAAATGATATAACTAAATAAATTGAAGAGTTGAAGGATTTTTTTCATGAAACCCAATTCAATTCTTGAAGATGGATATACGGCAAAAGTTAAACAAAACATATTAAAAGTTTAGAAGGCAAAAAAGGATTGTTACACATCGACAATAAAAAAAATCTGTTCAAAATCTGTTTTTTCGTTAATCAGCTGTCGCCCCCATACGAACGACAACTCTTAGCTAAGGACTAACGAGGTCTCACCTTTTAACGTATGATTTCTAACACGGTTGCAGAATCATCTCAGCTTCAACCAGATAAATTCTCTCGAGAAAAATATCTGATCGAGGCGGGAATCGAACCCACGGCCTTCCGATCATGAGTCGAGCGCACTACCACCGCGGCCAATTCCACAAAAAAACTGAAAAATAAAACTGAAGAAATCTAGGATATTATAAAATCCATACCAATCTTTCTCTATTATAGAATATGAAGTAGTTGGTTGGCTTGCGGCCAGCAGCCAAATTAAAAAACGTCATGAATCAATTTTCTTCTTGACAGAGAAATAAATTTATTTTGAATATGTCAAAATCGGTGATAATCACATTTGTTCACCAAAAACTATTACCTAATGAGTTTTTGCATCATTGACAATATCCAACGCCCTACAGAAACAAAATTCCTAGGTACTCATTCAGGTACTGAATTGAAGATGTTTGTTCAGAACTCAATAAAGCCTATTTCGCTACAAACTAATGAAATCAAACTCAAATACAAAAGGTTTGCTAAGCATTTATTATACTATTGCATACTCATAATAAAGTTACTCAAAGAATTCTTCAAGAGTTTTTTTTCCCAAACGCGTTTATTAAGATTGATTGTGTGTAATAAGGTAAAACTGAAACCTCTGGCGTAGAATAAATCCAAAAATAAGCACTTTTCCAATCATCAGAAATGCAATACAATTCTCAATGGGCGTTCACCAACCAAGTTGGCTTGGATTGATTGTGTCATGTTTGTTAGACAGCAAATAGCAAATTATCAGTGTAATACTACAGTGCAATATCAAACAAGGCAACTTGATGGGACAATTATCAGGCTATTAAGGTATTATTGTCAAATGAAAATATAAATTTGTGGATAATGTAAAGCTCAGTATTATTCAAGTAGACTATAAACAGTAGTGGACCTAAAAAACTATCTTTTGAAATACCTACTTAAATATTGATCTCTTCATCATACACAATCAATAAGTCATACTTTTTGTTTATGGTAGTTGTATTCCCAACCAGAAAAGACATAATGAAGCAATTTTTTTGTATATAAACCGATCAATAATTAATTATTGTTCAAGATCTTCCCTCATCATTTTATAGAAGGCTGGTTCAAATTTTTTTATTGGATGCCAAAAAAAATTTTTTTATTTCCTGTTTTTCAGAAAATCGGCGAAACTGCCCTGCATCGAGCCATACTCAATGAAGTTGGCCACACATTGCATATCGTAGATTTTTTAATTCAAAACATGTCGAATTCAGCTATAGACAAAACGACGAACCCACCTGCCATCCCCGAAATGAGTGGATCAAACACTGCTTTACATTTGTGTGCATTGCATGATAAAGTGGAATGCATGAAGCTGTTGCTTCGAAGTGGTGCGGATGCCACCATAAGGAACTCGCACAATAAAACTGCTATGGATATTGCTCAGGAAATGGGCAACAATACCTGTCAGGAGCTGGTATGATTTATGAAATTCTGAGAGTGGTTGAAGGGCTGATTTGTGTTTTTTAGCTGCAAAATGCTGCGAATCGGTTAAAAAACTATTTTGATAATATCAATATAGACTGGAATTTGTCACATGATGATGGGTCTACGGATTTTTCAGATGATGAAACGATCATTGAGGATAGAGTAAGTAACTGAAATGGAATCATTTTTTTGGAAGAGAACAGTTTAAAAAAAAAAAACTTTCGATTTTCTATTTCTCCATTTTGATATAGAAAGTACAAAACTTTCTAAGATGAAAAGAAAAGAATTATATACATCAACATAAACTATTAACAGAGATGAGTAAATCATGCACAGGTTTTTTTCAGATACAAATGGGATAAAATCCACCCAAAATAACTACTTTCAAGTGTACGAATGTTGATTTACATGGAAGTCATTCAGTTTGCACTTAAAACAGACATCATATACAGGAATGTTACATAAAGTAATGTGTGGAAAGCTTTCAACGTCCAAGTTTGATTCTGAGTATTGGATAAAAACACTTATTTGTGTCTCTTTCAGTGACATACAGTCATAAAGTTTTTGCAATTATTGAGTGAATCAAATGTTTTCACCCAAAACTTTGGAGTATATCTGTTAATTATAGGTTTTTATGTAAGTGAAATTTTATATCAGCATTCTTTCATATATTTCTTAAAGCAGCTCCAAATTTATTGAAAGATTTACCAATATCACAGTTTCATTGCAAAATTTCCTGTTGTGTAGGTAAGGTCTATCTTTTCAATTCCTGTTGATGCAATTCTGACAATTCTCAAACTATACTATATTCCAAAATAGTAGGCACTAAATTCTCAGAAATGACTGACGTTTTTGCCTCAATCTGTCTCTTGCAGTAACATTCGGAAATTATAATAAACAGTTGAGGAAAAATGATAATGAAATATATAGAATCACAACCTTGACAACATTGTTTTTATTTTAATGAATTGATATTTCTGAGTCTATTGAGAATCTGCAGTCTGCAACTTTATAGAAAAGATAAGTTCAAGAAATTACTGTGGCTATATTTTTAGATGTATTTGAAACTTTTAATAGCCGCTAGATGTTAGAAAAACTAGAAAGGTATGGCACAAGAGGGCCAGCGCTAAGATGGATTCACTTATATCAATCGAACTTTCAACAGAGAATGGTCATAACTAGAAATTAGAAACACGACTTGACAGAGGCAGGTGTACTTTCACTGGGTGTTTTTCAGGATAGTGTAATAGGTCCGTTACTCTTTCTATTTTACATCAACAATCTTGCATCAGACATTGTTATGAACTTGTGATGCACTGTTTGGAACCTTTGGTGTAGTAATCAATATTATTGGAGTTTTTTCTCAATACCAAACCATTATTTCAACATCTCGACACGTGTTTTGATCACCAAGTAATCATATTCAAGAGGAAGATTAAACTAAATATACTTACAATGTTATCCTTATTTATACCATAGATACCTCTTCTAGGTACCTGCGTCTTGAGTGACTTAAATTAATAAACCAATATTGCCTTATCCACTAGCCTTCAATTAATTTTATAATGTGTCCTTATGTAATAGTCAGGTAAATCTAATAATTAAAATATTATTTTAACAAGCTATATAGTATACTATTAGGTATTGATTGCTCCACCATCGTTATTCATAACATTATGTTTACTTATTTCTACATTCTCATAGGCATCTAGGTGCCTGTCATTAACTTATCTAACTAATCTTAATAAACTAAAGTTATGGAATGGTTTTGTTGCAAGATATTGTATCTTATTTTAATAGATCTTTTTGCCTGTCCATAATATTTTGCATCGCATTCCTTACATTTAAATTTGTAAATTCCAGACCTTTCCGAATTCTCGACTTTGTGTTTTGGATTTCTTAAAAGGCTCTGTAGTGTATATCTTATTTTAAAAACCACCTTCACACCTAGTTCCTTGAAAATCTTTCCAAAGTTCTTCGTGTATTGGTAATCAAAACACATGTCGAGGTGTTAAAATAACGGTTTGGTTTTGAGAAAAAACTCCAGTAATATTCATTGTTATGAATTAACGCATCTGGTCAATTATGCTGATGATACCAATATTTTGACTGTGTGCCAATCAGTGAACGAGTTGTTGAATATTGCACACAGCTGAATAAAGCGCAGGAGTGAAAAAAAAACTTCCTTTTCAGAATAAAACAAAAAACATGAGTGTTCCACTAGACATAATCCTACATACAATCCAATACGGTAACTATAGCAATTCATACAAAGTTTTCAGGAATCCATATCGAGCAAAACCTAGATTAGCAGACACATATTACAGAAATGTGTAAAAAACCGAATCCGACCTGTTTTTCATTGAAAGTTAGATATTTTTTATCTTCTGGGAAAGCAGTAATCATCCACAGCAGGTGTTTATATGCAAAAGACAATCATTAGAATCATGCTAGATCTTGATTACACAGAAACATGCAGAAAATTGAATATATTAAAATTTCCAGCCATCTTTGTATATGAGTGCCCAGTATTTCTATTCAAGAACAAAAATGAAGTTGAATGATTCAAAGTACAACGTGACTTCAACATAGAAATGTGGATATAAATATCATATATCAAGTTTAATGATAAACTTCCAACTAATCTGGAAAAAGTCAAGTTGTAAAAAATTTAAGAAGGTAATATAAACCTGATTTTGAAAGTGGAACCCTAATAATATTCAAGAATTTATGAACTATGCTTTTTGACACCTGATAATTTGAATGTGTTTTGTTTTGTCAAGACGTATACGTTGTGATGCTTGTTCATTTAATTGTATATTTCACTTAATAATACGTAAAAAGTGCAATTTGTGAATAAAAGAGATTTCTATTCTGTTCTACGTTGTGAGGCGTTCCTGTGAATGTTTTTTCAAGAACAGCAAGCACTACAGGAAAATCCTCGAAGCGCTCTAAGAGCGGTGCCTGTGCGAAAGTAGCGGTTCACGTTGGATTTTGATCGCTGGAGAATTAATTCTGCCAAAAGGTTTTTTCCTGAAAAGGGAATGAATAACATTGTGAAACGTTAAAATATATTCGCCCGTTAATTGTAATACATAATTATCAATTATGGGAGTACACTGAACTGTCACAAACCTTTTTTTCTCAATAGTAATTGGATGATACCTGATTTCTTGATTTTTTCAGAATGGATCTTTCACTCCTGAGAAGAAACATCGATTGAGACCTCCCAGTTACACAGGTGGGGATTCTCCTATAATGTTATGTTAACGCCTATCTACTTGCAATAGCTTACAGTTAGGAAGTAGTCCTAACATCATTAACAGTCAAATGCCTCCTCCCACTCCTATAAATTTGAAAAAACCAGGTAACATCACAACCAATTATTATAATTGTCGTATTGTGAATCATATTATCAAGTGTGTGATTACACCAAGTCTGTACTTTTTTAGGAAGCTAGAGGCTTTTTACAAGAGTGGTGAAACAAGGGAAGGGGCATTTTGAATTTTGATGTTGGGTGTTGGTTGTGGATATAATTAATATTTCAATATTTCTGTTGATAACTTGAAAGATACAGTATCTTGTGTTGAAGTGAAATAACTTGCTTGTATTGATACTAATTCGAACATTATTCATACTTTCATATCAATTCAATATAATGAAAACACATCTCTTTTGCCGGAACTAAAGCTTTGTCTCTCAAATCACGTTTCGCTAACCAGGTTTTAGTCGCCTCCTGATGATGCAAATTTAGTTAGCTTAACTTACATCAAGAGACAATGCTCTAGTTCTGGTGTGAGAACAGTGTATTAATTAGGTTCAGTATGTAGCAACTCTCGTTTTTGTTTTTTCGTAAAATATTCATCTTCTAATCTTTTCATATTCCATTCACAGATATACAAGGTTTTTCTAGAAAATAACAGGACTTTCACTGTAACTCTTCACTTTTTTTCCTTTACAACTTTCACCTTATTCCCTTCAATATACTTTCCCTCACTATCCCTACACTTTTTCATTCAAAATTTTCACTGTTCAAAACAGTGTTTTAAGTCATTTTCGAAAGTATATTAATAGTTTCCACCACTTTTTCTCCACAACTTCCACTGAATCAAACCTGTTTCCTTTTAATGCTTCATTATCTTTGAAAACAAAACAGAGCTAGAAATGGTGAGTAAGATGGTTTTTGCATCATCAGGATCCCATGCTTGGACAAAAATGACGGAACAATCAGTGCAGTGTGGGCTGGAGCATTGTCCTGATGAAACATTCACGACTTATTCTTTCACAGCCCTGGTTGATTTTTCTTACTCGCTCATGGGAATAGCTAGAACTTCAAAATAATATTCTTTATACACCCGTTCCATTCATGAGTGCTTTTGTTCATGCATTGTGATTTTAGGCACCATTTTGGAATGCACTATATGAACATTGAAATGTTCATAAGTTTTTTCTAGTTCTAACATCCGAAACTGTTTGGAAACTGCGTAAGACATGTCAAACAGTCCGAAACAGTTTCGGACGCTTGATTAAACCAGAACGCATTTTGAGGAAACCATTGTGCCACCTATTGGGTAATATTGACAGATGAGATTGCTTATTTTCTCGATGTCTTCTCGCTCTTATTTGAAACGTTTATACCACTCAAAACTGATCCCTATACATTTGTAAGAGACAATAGGTCTCTGTTATGTTGACACTTTGCTCAATTAAAATGCCTACTATTTTTCCGATGAGCGTCAGGTACACAGTCCGATACGAACAAATGCTGTGGCCAAGTGACCAGCTAGTGTCGTCAAACCCGCTGAATTGTGAAGAGGGGATGGCGGGCGATTTGGCAATATGGTATTTAACCTTGAGACTCGCATGGTTTGTCTCACAGAAAGCCAGTCCTGTTATTTTCTAGCCACACCTCATACTAGCTATATTTTCAATTTTTTTTATATTACTTTTTCATTTAAATAGGTACATCAGAAGAATCCCATATATTTTAATAATTTTTGAGATTTATATTTTATATATTTTACTTTTTGAGATGACTGTCCTTTCAATTCAGAACTTTACTAGTGTCCTAGTTTGACAGTAATACTAACATTTCAATATTGTCTGATTCATTTTCCTGATTTTAAATCCATATAATTTTTCATATCCCCTTGCGTCATACAAATATATACCATACATTATCATCATCATCACTTCAGTTTGTGTTGACAAATATTTATGAAACGTCTCTGAGAAGGCAACCTGTAGTTTTTGATCTCGAGTTCTTTCATTCATTATATTTTTAGTCTAATCAACGAAGTTTTTTCCTTGGAAATCCTCAGAAACGGTTCAGACTTTGATGATTTTTCTTTCCAATTTTCTTGTTCTATTATATTGTTTGAAATTGGAAACCTTTTGAGGCAGAAACAAAGTTATTTAATTTGTTTAATCAGATTCGAGTAACTCATTTTTGAAAATTTTGTTTTTGGAGGATTTTCATAAGATATAATCGTGGGATGAGTTCCTCTGAATTTAAAGTCTGATTTCAAAGTTTATATGGTTATGATCTGAACAACTATTCTCATCAAATACATTCCATTTCCCAACATAGTTGCTTATAAATATAGTACCTAATGTTCGTGTAACTTCTTTTTGAAAATTATGTTTTCGGGGGGTTTTGATAAGATATAATCATGGTATGAGTTCCTCTGAATCTAATGTCCGATTTCAAAGTGAACAACTTTTTTTATCATATTAATTCCATTTCCCAACATTGTTGCTTATAAGTGTAGCACCTAATATTAGGTGTTAGGTAGGATTATTGCCTATATTCAAAATTTCTATAACAAACTCTAGTAAATGTTCACCTCTTTCATTGGTGTCAGTTCTTCCCCAGGTCAGGTAGTGCGGATTGGCATCACAGCCAATTATGAGTTGTTTTTTGTCTGCTGGGCAGGCTCTCACTAGCTCGTCCACATCCCTGGTTGGTGACAATTTCTTACTATCGTAAGAAAGGTACGCTGATTCAGTGACGATTTCCTCAGGTCCTCTCTCACCAGCCATCTTAAGTTGACCGCTGTCACAAGTTCCTGGTACAAAAAGTACCCATTGGCAATATTCAATTCCAGTCCCATGTTCTTTCCCCCGTTTACCCTGGGTTCTTGTATGACAGCAATTTAAGGACCACTGAAGCCAATCACTGTGTTATAAGTTTGCTTGTACTACTCTCATTGCGAGTCAGGAAAGTTGCTCGAAGAGATGTCCACATCCATGCAGGCTAAATACTCATGTAAGATAGACTGGTATCACAGAGGCTACACTGGTAATACCTTATAAGGCCTAGGCCTTAATATAACTGAAGATACATTTTTAGTAAATATCGATAATTAAAATAGATTTATTTTCTGCAAAAAGTATCTGAAAATAATAATTGAAATCAAGCATAAAGTGATACAGATCATGTGAGTGTCCAATCAGCTTCAGATAGTAACTTCCATAATGTAGTTGTAGCAGAGAATATTGATGGCTTTATCATTTGATGATGAATACATGTGTTTTCAATCCATTCAAAGGTAAAACCTCGAACGAGTCTATTCAACAAAAACACTATCCATTAATGAAGGCATTAATTGTATTCCCACAATTCATGGTGTCAAAATTGACAAAAACTTAAATGAAACTTCAATATAAACTTTTCATAGCATTAGCTTCAAAGAACAACAGCAACGTATTCCAGAGATATACCGAATTGACAATAAATTGATCCTAAATGATACAACAGTGTATTGGTGATCGATATGGATTGAACAAAATCACTAGCAAACAAAGTTACGTTATATTTACCTGCAAACAAAGGCACAAATATATACAATAACTTTCAAATACATGTCTGCTAGTTTTATTATTCAGAATTATAAAAATGCTATACAACCCAGTTCGTTACCTTCGACAGATGATACAGCAAAATAACATTTAAAAAAAGTTCACTTACAAGTTGAACAATATAAAAATTATACCGCCCCAAGAATTGGTGTTGGCAACAATATAATAACCTAAAATCAAATAAGATGAAGCAAGTTGCAGGTGTTTCCTAAATATTTTCTTCGGAATCTTTAAATAATCATTGAAGTATAACTATTATGTCTACTGTTACAGACCAATTTAAATATGAAGACGCAAAACTGAATTTCTTGTACAACTATCATACGTAGATCCCATAGATGTCGTCGATCTCACCTACTCAGGCTTATTCTTCAAGGACAGTCTAGCACTACTTATAAGACTTATGGCAGGTTGAAACAGCGCTGTATGGTATTAAAGCATAAATGCATTGTGTTTGGGCTCTGCTTTTCAATCATATTGTTTAAGTATTATCACTAAATAATTCTGTCCTCTGTTTAAAATATTTTTAATGTCAAGCAATATAAAAAAACAAACATTTTTGAAAAATCTCTGAGCAGTTTCTGAGGACTTCTGAAGATTGCCTGTTTTACTTATTCATTGTCACCACTAATGAACCTTTTCGTGAAGTACGAAAAATCACTCACTAGCAGCGCTAGTAGTTCGGTAGGGACAAACACTGCCTAATCCTCATATAATATAAACATATGTTAATGTACAATTGAAAAATAATGTTTTTAACAGAATTAAATGTTCCTGGAGCAAAACTAAAATTTGCAACTGTAAAGGATAACAATGTTGTAACATTAAAACGTTGGCTTGCATGCCGTAATTTAAAAGTAACTGGAAAAAAAGTTAATTAATAGACAGTTATTGAATATGAGAATTGATACATGGCATGATTTTATATAACAATTTGAGTAGCTTTATTCATTATATTTTTTAATATTCCTCGATGTGTTCATAATCAAATTATATGTACTGTAAGCCGTTTGTTTCTATGCAAATTAATTTTTTTTACAACACATATGAGTACTTGTATCTAATAACAACACAAAATATAGAATAAAGAAAATAAGTTTTGTCCCATTTCTACTACATTTATTATTTGTTTCGACCAGTTTATGAGAATAATTTCATGTTACTTGAAAATAGTGTTTTCATATAGTTTCAAGTAACTTGAAAATGGTCTAATAAACCGAAACTGGTCGTAACAAATAATAAAGTAATAAGAAAGTAGACAAAAGTTATTTTCTTCATTTTATATTCAATATGAATTTCTACAAAAACTAATAGGTCATCAATCGAAAAAGACAAAATATACACATCTTAAATTCAGTGTACAATCATGAATTAATTTAAAAGCAACATGAAGATACACCGATGAAAGTTCATCTTTTGGAGTAGATTTCTTTAAAAAAATTCTTGTTATTTTCAAATTATTTCTTCAAATTATACAATTCACACAGGAAATATTTATTTTGTATATTTATATTGAACAAATTACTAAGCTACTTTCATCAAAAAATGTATTCATGGAACCTCACTATTTCTTCTGCACAATCCAATAATTTTTACATACTTTTGACATTTCATATATTTTGAAACATAAAGTGAAACAGTAAATATAAGTATCTCTATGGATTGATTTTTAAAATCGTTACAACTTCTTAAGCATTATAGTTCAAGTGGGCAGTTTGCAATTTCAAATAATAATTATTTCAGACCACAGAGTGCAATAATTATTGTCAGAAATAACCATTTTCAAAATCTAATCTGAATCTCCCATTTTTTTGAAACAGCTATGGTTCATAGTAGTTTAAAGAAGAGAGCAGCCCCTATGCCCCCTCCTACTAGTTCTTTGCAATATGGTACGTTACCTAGCAGCCATAGCAGAACTCCGTCAGATCCCATTGCAGCGGGATACCATACTCTTAGTCATACTCATAAGCGTACACCGAGCAGTGATTCTAGTTCGGGTAGATCTGTGATACCAATCGGTGAGTTATTTGGAATATTCAGAGAACTGACTCGACTATGACTTCTCTATGATAGTTGGAAGTGACTAAATGAATAGGAAATATTCATAACATTTTTTTCAGGAAATAAACTAGTCATGGCAGATTGCAAAAATTCTGATAAATTCGCTTCTGTGAGAAGACCCCAAAACCCTCCTCCCCCAGCCCCAAATACATCGTCAAGTCGACTGTCCAACGGTCGTTCAACAGAAAGTATTGCATCTATGGCATCTGACATTGACGTTTCAGGAATGACACATAACCCTATTCCACCCCCTAGAAGAGTAAGTATCTGTCTACACATGTATGCATCAGAAAAAAATAAATATTGGTGGTGAATATTCTGAATTTTTAACAGGAGTCTTTGAAACCATATAGATATTATTTTACAAGAATGATTTATTGTTGGTTGTCTAACTGAATAGATCCTATAATAAGGATGTACAACATAAAAAGAAAGAGAACAAAACTATATTCATTTATAGCTACAATTATGAAAACCTCAGTTAGATTAACTTGGAAATATTGGGCAAATCGAATATCGTAAGGATTTTATAATGGATATTCATAACAGTCATACCAGTGATGAAAGTGTTATAGAGAATAGTTGTGAAAACGGAATTTCAATTATTACAAAATACTGCAGTTTCCATAATTGAGTCAAAGATGAATATTGACGCACATAATGTATTAATATAAAGATAGGCCTTGGGCCATATTAGCCTGTGTTACCAATGTGAAGATGTTTTTATTCATATTGAAATATTTGACCTCATTAGTAGGTAAAAAACATAATTAGAAGGATATACCAAAAATCCAATAAAAAATGTTTGGATCAGTTAATTTTCAATATGTCGGGGCTCCTACTCCAACAAGATGGACCCAAGAAGTCTCAGCTAAGACTCCGTACTATATGTTTTTCATGTACCAATTTCATTAGTAATTGGTACAAGAATATATAATAGTGAAACAATATATCTGAAATTATCAAGTACTATTAAGTTGTGAATCACATATAGAGGAAAGCTTCATATAGTTAGTTGATGAATCAAGGATAAACTCCATATAACTCCAGAGGTGCCTATTCCACTTACTGGAAGGTCAAAAATTGACCAATCATTTATAGGTTCATTGCTATTTCTAAAACTTAACCTATCAACACATGTCACGAACATCATTAGATGTATAATGTATATCGTGAAAGAAAGGTGTACTACGGGAGCATAGACAATGTCTTTTCTTTGAAGGTCAAAATTTGTACACTTACTTTTTACTGAGTAAAATATTGTTTTTACTCTCTATTGCTGCAAAATAAAATGTTAAGTATGTACCTGTTGATTGAATTTAATAATAGTCATGTAATCAGTTAAAAGTAAAATGTCAAATAATTAACTCTCAAATATGAGGTTATGAGTTAGGAGTCATAAGATAAAATAAATTACAAATTCACTGTTTGTTCTATGCAAATTGGGTTGTGGTAAAGAGAAACAATAACGAAATAAGTGTGTAATGGAAAAACCCTTTTTTAACCCATACATATCAGATTTTTCTCAGTCCAGCATTATTCCTTTTTTTTTGGCTTCACATAAGCTATCTTCATTACCCATATTGATTTTAATAGTTCTATATATTGAAGGGCAAGAATAACCTTATTTTATTTATGGTGGTATCAAATAGATGTTACCATACATAAGGCTGTCAGTTTAGCATGAGACAATGTTTCATTTAATAATTCCTCTTTTCTCATCAAGCATTGCTGTATTTTTGCTTGTATGGTTTTGCAGAAACGGAAGTATCGTTTGGATAGTTTTACAGAGGATATTGATGTTTCTAGTCTGGTAATATTGCATTTTGTGTCATAAGTTTGTGCTTGAGGCCATCTAAAATTATGTAAGCAAATAAGGGTTGGGGAAGAATTTATCCACTATCCTTGTCGTGTATTTGTTTCAAATAAAAATTAATTGAAGTATAACTTCAGTCAATAATATGCTTACACAATGTTTGAATGCCCTCTCCGCCAAGTGTTGATTTGATCTGGCTTTGACTTTGATATGGCGGAAATAATCAGCATAATTTGTCAGAAATGTACCTTTAGCGAATTTTCATGGTTTTTGCTTTTACGCAAGCTTATTAAAATGAAAATTATTGATTAGTTATCTTAACACATCTCTGTTTTAACTTACCTGATTTTTTTAACATTTATTAAATTGAACATTTTATTTATTGTAAATATGTACTAGAAGTATTTTGCTTTTTAAAAACAAAGATAATATTGATAGTTATCGGTGGAGATTACCTTGAGGGAATATATTTGAAATTTTTATAATATCCACCCCACCGTTAATTTCATCTGCTGTGTCAATACAATCTGAATCGCGGTTTTGTTACAATTTTTGTTTTGATAATGCAGTAGATTGAGTTACTTATTGAATCCATTGAAAACACTTCCCCCACCAGAACAAAAATGCTGTTTCTCGACTCGCGTTTCGCAAACCAAGTTAGCATCATCAGGAGATGACAGTTTTATTCATCTCCCGAAGATGCAAATTCAGTAAGCGAAATGCGCGTCGAGAGACAATCCTTTTGTTCTGATGAGGTGAAGTGTTTCCGAAAGATTCATTTCATGGCGGAGAAATTTTACTCATCAATTACTTTTTGAAAATAATACCAAGGACATGTTTGACAGTATTTTGAATAGATATTTGGGAAAACATGAATGTATTTGAATTACAGAATGTGCTCGTTTCTGTCCCATTTCACGCCAGGGATAATTCTACCTTCCACTTACTTCAATGTCCTTGAATTTCTTTATTTCTGCATTTTCTTATCTAAACTTATAAATGCGAAAGTAACTCACTCAACACTCAATCATTCGTCTCTGTTTCTCCGTACTGCTAAGTCCTAGGAAGCTGAAATTGGATATATAGGTGTTTCTTAGGTCTCAGATGCGCATTAAGAAAGGATTTTCAAATATTACAACTGGGGCGACCCCGTGGGGATTAAAGGGGCGCGTTTACATATAAGAATTACGTTTTCATCACTGTTTCTCCGTACCACTATATTTTCGTAGGTTCGTTTTATGTTGTAGATGTGCAATAAGAGATAATTTTTAAATATTCCAACTGGGGCGCCAGCCGCGGGGGAAAAGGCACATTTATAAAATAAACTTAATTTTTCATCACTGTTTCTCCATACCGCTATATTTACAGAGGCTGATATTTTGTATGTAGCTTTGTTTTATGTTGTAGATGTGCAATAAGATAAAAGGGAAGCGTTTACATATGAAAATTACTTATTCATCAATGTTTCTCCGTACCGCTATATTTCCGGAGACTGAAGTTTTTCATGTAGGTTTGTTTTATGTTGTTAATTGCACATTAATAAGAGAGAATTTTTGAATATTTCAACTGGGGTGCCAGCCGCGGAGGAAAAGGAGCATTCATAAAATAAAGTTACCCTTTCATCACTGTTGAGCCATGTTGATGAATGATATTAATAGTATCTTATATCTATTATTGTGATTAAAGAACACCTTGTGCCTAGTATCAAATTGTTTCTTGCTTGTACCTAATTTTTTTTTCTATGAATTTAAATCGGTAGAGTGGTAGAAAAAAACTTTGGGATTAAAATATGTGTAAAATGTGAGTACATATCTCTCTTCGAAAGACTTCAAGAATTATTCCAATCTCGAATACAAACTCAGCAGAAAAGTATAATTATGTCGCATTACAGTGTGATAAATTTCAAAACAAAATAAATGATGAAAAATATTGAAAATGATATGTCAACACTGATCACCTATAGTATAAAAGTTTTGTCAAACTGTAAGAAGATACATATTTCTGCAGATAATCTTTTGAGGCTTTGAAATAATAAGATAAAGAAATAAAAAAAAATTCATACAACGGATTGATCTTGCAAGACTGTGAGAGATGGACTAAAACTTTTCAATTTCATTTCACAGTGGTGGAATTTCTACTGGCTGAGAAATGAATTCTGAGAAAATTTTTAATTTTTGAAAAACTAGGCGGCCTTGACGGTGAAGCAAACATTTTCTTTTTAGATAAAGTACCCTTTTTGTTTATGATACTTCAAAATGTTCCAAAGAAAAGTTGTTCAGGATAAAAAGTTATGGCTCCGTACCTAAGCCTAAGTCGCTTTGATCAAACTGTTAATTTTTTGCGGTGAACAAATTTTATTCACCCACGAGTTCATCGCATTGTGAAAAGGGCAATAAATGATATTACTTTCTATGAATTTTATTTGTAAATAAATAAAATTAATTTTGTCGAATCGTAAAAAATGTCAGTTTAATCTGTTTGGTCAGATATTCATCAATTTTTGTATAGAGCTATACATTCATCATGAACAACTTTTATGTAACATTTTGACATATCATGAACAAAAAGGATACATAACTGTAAAGAAATTATTTTCGCTTGACCATCATGATCGACGTGTTTTTCAAAAACTGAAAATATTTTTTGAATTCATTTTTCACCAAACAGGACTCAATTCCACAATCTTGAAATAAAATTCAGAAGTTTTTAGTCCATCATCAATTTCATTGATGATTTTTTTTAATGAAATGATAAGCAACTCTATAAGTTAGTGAAAGGTTTATCTTCTGAGGTGGTATTCAATAATTGATGTCACAGGTATAGAAGAAATAAGCCTTTATTTTGAAGCATGATATGTAAGAATGAAATGAGAGAAATATGCCTTTGTACCAGGTGATAACCAGATTAAAAAAGTCGTTTTCAATAGTTCAAAAATTCAAATTAAAAAGCATGAGAGAAATTGACTTAAATTGATCTGGTAATCAATTGGCATAAAAAACTAACACATAACTTGCACAACTTTAAATAGACACTGACAAGTTTACATTTTTAGGCGTCGGACTCGCCTCCTCATAGAAAATCCTCTAGTCCTATATCTACTAGTTCACTGTGTTCACCTCGGTCGATACCCACTAGTGGAAGGTTATCGTACACTTCAAATGGTAACACAGTGTTACGACGATGTAAAGCACTCTATGACTGTGTAGCTGACAACGACGATGAGCTGTCATTCCAAGAAGGCGAAATTATAATTGTCATCAATGAACACACCGACGATGACAACTGGATGGAGGGTATGGTGGAAAATGAGCCAGAACGGACCGGGATGTTTCCTATTAGTTTTGTTCACATGCTGCCAGATTAGTAGCCAAAACCTCATATAATCGGTGTAAAAATAAAGTAATATATATTTTTGATGTAAATGGTTTAATGACGAGATGAAATAGAGAGAAAATAAGTTATCTATTCTATATACTGACGATTCGGTATATTTCCTCTGTTTTGAAGTGTATTTTGTCTAATGAAATGGAAAAGCCCTGGTCAAGAAAATACTTTTGAAATGCTCCGTATGAAAGAAACTGTTAGAGACAAGCATCAAATTTTGAGTAGGTACCTATACATTTTCAGCAGGTTGAACCACTTAATGATAGAGGTGTAATCTTGTAATAACATTAACTTAGGGCAAAAGGAGACGGTTATGATTGATTTTGGCCTGTGCATATTTGGATTTCTTCCGACGACCTGTATTATTTCAAACATCTTTAAACATCAGTTAACATATTTTACTCAACATTCCTCTTCATAATACAAATATGAGTTAGTTGCGTTAAAGAATTTTTCATTTAATACATGACGGAGGAAAAGGAGC